AATACTTAGTTTTATAAAGATTAGAGAAATAATTCTTAACTATTTACTTATAAATTTTATAATAATATTACTAGATAATAGACTTACTTAGAAGTTTTATAGCTTTTTTAGAATTATTTTAATAAAAGTATAGAAATAATTTTATAATAAAACTTATATAAAGATAAAATATATTATACTTATTTCTTTAATAATAGTAGACTTTATTAGATATAATTATAAGTAAGTTTTTCTATTTTCCTAGAATTAATTTAATACTTTATCTAATTTAATTTTAAACTTACTTTCTTTAATAATAATCTTTTTTAAGACTTATTTATATAAAGTATAATAAGTATTAATATATTAATATATATACTATTATTAAGGTAAATCTTATAAGTAATATAATACTTATAAGAATTTATAATAATATTATTTTAAAATTATAATTATAATAATTCTAAGAATTATAAAAAATTATATTTATTTTACTTAGATTTAATTTAATAATAAAATATAAAATTATTTTTATTTTATTTTATTTAATTTAATAATAAAATATAAAATTATTTTTCTTTTTATTTAAATTTAATTTTAAAAGAAAAATATTAAAAAGAGAATTTTTTTTTCTATAAACTATAAGAGGGAACTATTATATATATATATATAAAGAGAATAATAAAGTATATTATTAGCTAGAAATTTTTTAGTAGTGGAGAATAATAAAGTATACTATTAGCTAGAAAATTTTCTACCTTTATAGCCTTTTTATAGTATAAGCCCTATGCTGGCAAAAGGCCGGATAAAGGCTAGCTTGGACAGGTTAACTTGGTGGATCTGGGACAGGTTATGTGTAACCACCACTATATCTCCTCTGTACCTTAACCATCATTAATCACAAGTTAGCACGCACGAGGGACATAACTTGGCATCAAACTAAACCGCCACTCGCATGTGCTGTTACTCATGGTTCAATAACACCGAGGCTTTGTATAGACCACATTAATTGATCATGCTCAGTCACGAGGATGTGGAAGGAGTGGCTGGCGAACTACTCGCCTCTGCCGGACTCGAGCTTCTACACTCCGAACAACTTCAAGCTCTGTGGGCAGGTAATTTGAATACGACCGTGTTCCGAGGTCACGAAACCATTACTTCGAAGAAACTGACTGTATGTGTAACTAGATTATGGTTTCATCTATGCTGTGGAGGCGAAGCGCATCGCGTCTACCGCCTCGGTTTCGAGTCAAAAGTTCTTAGTTGGAGACCCTTTGGAGGGTGATGGCAAATTGCGGCTCGTGCTAAAGATCATCTCTCCCCAAGATGCGAAAAGTGAGGAAGGTCATCTCCGAAAGCTCTTCAGCTATGAGGTGGAGCAGTATTTCTACGACAGATTGGCCCCCTTGTTGCCGCCTAGTGTAAAAGTGGCCAATTGTCTGTGTTCAACGCGCTATTTGGCTCCAGGCGTAGCTGGAGGCGAGAGAAGGGTTACTGCAACTTTAATGACTGACTTGAGGGAACAGTTTCCTGTTGCTGGAGAGAAGAGGAGTGACCTAACAGTCGCGCAAGTCTACTCAGCCATTAAATGGCTTGCAGACTTCCACGGTAGCTCCTGGTCGATGCGGGATGATCATACAATGCATGGGCTCCTCTTACCTCCCTTGGATGAGTTGGAAGCTAGAAGAACTGTGAAAGAACTGCCACCTAGATCTATCTGGCGCAGTGGCGGATACACGTACCTGGCTACGAGACAGACGGAGTACGCCTCGCTGGCCCGAAGATCGAACTCCGAATGGTCAGCAGTCTTCTGCAAGCACGAAGGTACAGCCACGATCGCCGAAAAGGTCGCAAGATTTCTCAATCCCAAGGGCCGGTCGTTCGAGACTTTTATACACGGCGATGTCAAATCCGAGAATTTATTCTCTACCGAGTCAGGAGACAGCGTTGCTTTTTTTGATTTCCAATATGTCGGGTTGGGTCTAGGAGCCAGTGACCTCGCGAAACTGTTTACTTGCTGTGTTCCTTTGCACATGCTTGTTGACAGAAGCGCACCACTCCCTGACAAGATAGCCATGCAGCAAGGGGAACTGAACCTTCTGAGGCAGTATCACCAATTGCTTACCCGCTATGAAACAACTGATGGCACCAAGTACGATTTCTCGGATTTCCAGCGTCATTGGGAAACGGCGCTTGTCGATTGGTGCCGGTTTCAGGCTTCGTGGGGGTTTTGGGGCAATACGGGCTGGTTGCAAGGGCGTGTTCGGTCCGTCGTATGTGACGAAAGCTGGAGAAATTGGTTGAATCAACAGGTGTAAAGGATAAACCGGGTCACAGTAATATGTAAATGATGCATGCGTGGCATACAATGAATGTTCTCGATGTAACCTACAACAACAGACGCCATTGTGTTGTGTGGGAAAAAGAAAAAAAAATGCCCTTGGTGACTGTAGAGTATAGTCGCTCGCATAAAAACAGTCTCATCTATGTACAGCATTGTGCGTTTTGTGATCACTCCCATTGCTGGGGACTCACGCGTTCACCATGGCGTAGTAGTCAATCGCTCGGGTTCCTGGCCGGGCGTTGGGCGAGAGCTCACCGACAGTGCGGTCATATACATTCGTGAGATAGTCCGCATCGTTCATTGTGATCTTCAAGTCGGGAACGGAATTGGGGCGGAGAATTTCGGTCATAACTTGTGCCCACCTCCAGGGCTCTTGGGTGCCACCGGGCTCGCTATTGAAGTACTCCCAGCCCATCACTCCGCCGATTTGCCCGTATTTGTTGCGAAGAGAGATGATAGTGGTGTTCAGTTGACTATATGGGATGTAACCATATCCATTGTCAGAAGAAGTAAGCTGGCCAGCGACCACTTTCGACGCCACAAAGCCACTGGACACAATCTTCACGTAGTCATCGGTGCGTGCCATGGTGCCGAATCCGCTGTAGAACTGACCATTGTAGAAGGAGATATCACGGCCGTTAGTAGATTCGAGAGTTTTGTAGTCAAATCCGCTGAGATTTGCGCCATTTCTCAGTGCAGATGCGACTGGTGCTAGCGTGATGATGAAGCCGGGACCGAAATCTTTGCGCAGTCGGGTGATGAGTCTTGAAATGCCAAACTGAGTCATTGGCTGTTCGACATCCAGGTCCATGCCTTGTAGACCAAATTTGGTGATGACATCCTGGAGTTGACCGTAGTACTTCTCAAAGGTCGCAGTGTCTCCATCGAGAGTTGACGAGTCGAAGGAGCCGGACGCGGCCCCTCCAACCATTCCCATGACTGTCACACCGGCTGTCTTCATATGCGCCGTCTCATTCCACAGTGTATAAAAGTGAGGGTCACCGGGGGGGTAGTCATTCAAGTGAATCTCTGAGTCCTTGTTTATATGAAGAGAGCAGACAATGAGATGAGTCAGTGCTATTCCCTTCTCATTGATGAGAGGAAGCATGGAGATTGGGTTACCGCGCTGGTCATGTGTGGTCTGGAAATAGACAACAAGTCTAGGCAATCCTGATGATGCTGTGGCAGTAACAGAAGCCTCGGCATTAGCCTGCACATCGCGAACAGGGCTAGCTTGTAGTAGAGGAGCCAGAAGCGACACAACGGAGAAGACTGACCACCGCATCTTTGTGTCCAGTTTGTTGGGCCCGGATAATTATACGTTGTAAGAGTTGGGTGCTACGTTGACATGAAGGAGTGAACCGAGCCTATATATAGAAATCTATTACTCACGTAGCATAGCGGCCATCAGTTGATCTTCTGGGGCACAGACGGAAGAGATCTGTCTGGGCATGCCGAGGACGCGAAGACCAGAAAAGCACATGGAGTCCTGGGTTTTGTGTAAGAGCTTGGAAGGCCCCGAGGAAAGTAACTCCACAACAGTTGCTACCTTCCAATAAGAGAGTAAGCCGACAGATAATGATGCATTGATCCTGCGGGGTGAGGACGCATGCCTTACGGTTTATATTCTCTGCCTTATGTGATGGTCTGTTTTGGTAGTAAGGAATGTTTGAGATCTGGGAGCGTGACTCTGATCTGGCGTTGCGCTGACCCAGACTGCAGGGATTCAAATTAATAGAGGTCTCGGAGGGAAAGCGGAAGTCGTCAGATGCGGGTGGTGGGGTTAGAAAGAAATACTTACACGCTTGGTAAGGCTGCAACGGTTTGTCGCGAGGGTGGTGACTGAGGTGCATCACGACTCGAACTTTTTGGTACTGCTGAATTTTTGATCAGCTGGCCGGCACGCATCATGGGTTTTCAAAGGTCATCTTGACGATCCTGCTGCGTGGCTCTACTCCAGGGGAGGCTGATTATACCACGATGGCGAGGACTATCCTTGGGTCAGTTATCATGGTGTGCCCCCACCAGGAAGATAACCAACTATTTACCGAAGCCACCTACCTTATCGAGGCAGCACAACGTGCTGATACATAATATGGAAGATTAGCGCTGCTGCTTGGGCTTAGATCATTATGACTGCGTTGTGCATGCATTATGAGGCTCGCCCTAGGTGACAAACAACAATAACTACAACAACAACAATAACTACAACAACAACAACAACAACAACAACAACAACAACAACAGCAGCAACGAAAAAAAATGGGCATGCATTGTTCAGTCAACAAGAAAACAGCAGTATCTTGGGTTTGTGCGCAGCTCATTCAACCTCGCAGCATGCTCGGACTGCGCGTCCTTGTGTTTGTAAATATTGTGTGCCTACTTGCGTGGCACGTGCCAGTTAATGCTTATCAGCAGCTTCACAGAAATGACAGGGACTCTGCCTCTAACTCTTCTTCTGGAACATGTCTTTGCCGAGGAATGCAACGCTAGAACATATACCGCATTGACTACAACAACCACGCGGCTTCTTAGCATACAGTAGGTGGCAATAAATATTTAACCCCCTCTAGGTAGCGGTTCTATACTACGCTAGCCTTAAAAGGCAGATATAGTACACCGCTTTAAAGCTATAAGGGTTAGGGTTATTTCTATTTACTATAATCTACTATAAGTCTACTATATAGATGTTACTTTTAAAAATCTTATCTAACTAGGGCATAGGCCACCTCTAGGATATAGGGGGCCCTACCTACCTAATTTACTAGGTAACCTCCCTTTCTTTTCTTCTTATTACCCTTCTTTTAGTAATAAAAATAGTTTACTAGATTAAATATTATAATATAAGCCTTTATAATTACCCTAAAAATATCTTATAATAATAAAACTTTTATTAAGGTTACTAGCCTAGTTAAAATATTAAGTTATTAGGTTAACTAAATTTATATTTATATAATTAAATATAACTTTAACTTAGATTTTTAACTTTTTATTATTAAAAATACTTTTTTTAAAGATATTTTATAAAATAACTAACTAAGTAAATAAATTATATAAAATAAAAAGATTATTTTAAATAAGATAAAGCTTAATAAATATAATAAAAAGAAAACCTATAATATTTTTATTAGTAAGTTAATTAATATTAATATATTTATCTTAAGGTTAATTATATAATATATTTTAAAAAAAAATAGGTTTTTAGAAAATAAAGTTAATAAAGAAGCTTAGTTTAATATAAAAGATAAGAACTAAGAGGTTTTATTAGTACTAGAAGTAAGAAGATTAAAGCTTAAAGGACTAGAAAAAGGTAATCTAGTTTAATAAAACCTTTATTATTCTCTTTTACTACTAAAAAGGATATTACTTTTAGTAATAGTTATTAAAAGCTTACCTTTATAGTTATATTTATAAGTATTAGAAAAGAGTCTTTAAATTTATATTTTAAGATTATTTTTCTTATAATAAAAAAAGCCTTTATTATTATTAAAAGCTAGAAATAGCTTAAAATTATTATCTTATAAAGAAAATAATAAAAAAACTAAATATTAAGTTAAAGCCTTTTATAAAAGAAAAATAAGAATTAATTATATAAATAAGTTAATTAAATTTTTATAATAAACCTAAAAAATAGTTTTAATAATATTAAAATTAATATATAAGAAAGTTTTTTTATAATATTAAAAGAAATATTAATTAATATATATATTAAATAAAGGTTTTAATACTAAAGTTTATCTCTTTTATTTAAGCTTATATTATAATAAAGTTAAGAACCCTTATATAAAAAGATAAAGCCTTAATATATAATTATTATATTTAATAATATATTTATAATATTTATTAGGTTTAATAACTTCTTTAGCTAGGTAATAGCCTTAATCTTAACCTTATTAAAATTATTTAATTATATTTAAAGAAGATTATTATTAAAAAAAATATACTAAAAAACTATTAGGAAGCTATTATAATATAGTAAGTAGCTTAGTAAGAATTACCTTAATTATATATTTAGTTATAGATTAAGTACTTACCTTAGTATATTAAGATAATTATTAAACTAAAGGGGGGTAATAAGTATAAAGAAAGAAGGTAGAGGCTCCTCCTTACCTAATTTATATATATATAGCCTATAGCTAACTAGTAGGTACCCCCTAGTTAAATAAGATTTTTAAAAGTAACCTCTATAAGTTTATTAGAGTTAAGGTTAATAGCTCTAGTTTAAAGTAATATTATTCTAATATTTCTATTAAGGTAAGACCTTAGCTATAATATCTTAGGCTATAATTTTAAGACTAATTCTTAGTTTCTTATAAAACTACTCTATAATATAATCTCTTAGTATTTTATATAGAGAAGTTATTTAATATACTATCTATATTTAATATTTTAAAAGATAATATTTTTAGTATTTGATTATATTATTTTTAAAGTAAAATATCTTATTACTTTTAATATTATATTTATTTATAAAATAAAATTTAAAAGAACTTATTTTCTAAAAAAATAACTTAAAGTTTAATATTAATATAATATTTAGATTAGTTTTAATATATTATTATTATACTACTTGAGTTAGACTAGCTTATCTATCTAATACCTCTATTATTTAATAGTATAAGAAAAACTAAAGTCCTTAAAGGAAAACCTATACTTCTTTACTACCTTTAGTTCTATATCTATCCTTAATAAAGGCTAATAAGGCCCCTCTCCTTAATTAAAATTAGAATTAAATAAAGAGTCTTACTAGTATCCCTAGTTAGTAACTTATACTAGGCTAGTATTAAGGTAGTTAAGGTAGTACTAGGTTAATTTATATAAGGAACTAGATACTTATATAATTAAGTAACTAAGTAATTAAGTAGTTAAAGGTAAAGGGCTTTAGGACTTAAAGGAGGGGGGGGGGGTTATATATAATTATAATTATTAAGCTAATAGTATTATAAAGTAATAGCTAAAATAAAGATAGTTTACTTATCTTCTACTCTTATATTATCTTAGTTATTATAAGGCTTTATTAGGTTAAATATCTTATTTATTATATATATATATATAAATATATATATTTATTATTTTTCTTACTTTATATAATTTATAAATAATATATAAAAATCTATACTTTCTTTACTTTAATATTTAAGTTAATCTCTAAATAAGAGTATATATAATTAATAATTAACCTTTACTTAATTAATTTTAGTTTTTTTACTAATAAATTAATAAATCTAGCTAATTTAGTTAATCTAGTTAATTTAGCTAATTTAATTAGTCTAGTAAAAGTATAAATAAGTTAAGATTTTTTTTATTTTTAGGCTTTTTTTCTTTTTTTTCTTTAGTTAAATTATTTATATATTTACTCTTTTTTCTTTTATTACTTTTACTTTAAAACTCTTTATACCCTAATTATCTTTAAATCCTAAATAATAAAACTAATATAATATAAAAAGCCCCTATCCCCTAATTAAGTAAGTATCTAACTATATTATCTTAGACTCCTTTTAAGCCTTATACTAATCTAATACTAGCTTTATAAGTAATAACTCTTATTAATAATCATAAGTTTTCTTTTAATATATCTTAACTAGTCCTTAGTCTTACTTTAACTACTTACTAACCTCTTTTAGCTTAGTTAAGGCTAAAATAAACCCCTTTAAAAGCTACTTTAAGCTATCTTTTATAAGTTTTATATAAACTAAATAGTTACTATTAGTTATATAACCTATTATAAATAAACTAGTAAGTACTTTATTTAAACTAAAACTAAACTATATTAACTTTATTTTAAGAAAAAGTTATATTTATATTATATATATTAAGTAAGGTTTATATTATATTAATATAAGTCTACTTTTACTTTAAATTAGGCTTATTTTTTACTAATTATATTAAGTATTATTACGTATTATCTTAACTATTATTACCTAGTAAATATAATATAAAAAATAATAATAACTTTAACTAAAATATAGTTTTAATTTATATTAAGTTTATTTAACTATTTTAGGTTATAGCCTAGTTTTATATTAATATTAGTAAGCTTATTACTAAAGAGGTTATTAACTAGGTTTAGTCTAATAATAATATTATCTTAGGTACTATTACCCTTATACTTATTTTTATACTTACCTCTACCTTTACTCTTACCTCTATACTTACTTCTACTATAGCCTAAGTCTTAGACCTATCTATATATAATTACTCCTTACTTTTTATAATTTAAACTAAGATCTATATTACTAATACCTTATTTTAGTACCTAGTTAATATTAGCTAATACCTAGCCTT